TGTATTGATCTTCTTTATCAATAAAAGATTTTAAAAAGTGAAAGTTGATGTGTTTATATTCATCCCCCTTACAAACTGTTACCTTCAAACTTTTGTAGATCCGACTTGTAAATATAACAAGTTCTCAAGTACAAATAATATAACATTTCCAAAATCCACATATGAAATGCAATCATGATCCTCTTCACATTTTCCCTTTTCCCTTATCCTCCAATTGTGTCCGACCTATAATGGACATTTTTAAAACAAACCAAGGGTTAGACCATAAAGTCTAGTGAGAAATCCTTTTTGATTGTTATTATAACGTGAAAATCACCAAAACACTTTTAGAAAGCCCATATTTGTACAAATAATAAATAAATAGTGTTTTATTAAAACAAATCTCTTTGTCGCATCATATAGATGAGACAATCTCCTTTTTATCGCATCAACCCATGAAGTACCAAATCACATTATACTTCAAAAAAAAGTACCAAATCACATTAAACATAAAATACACCAACTTGTCGCATCTCACTGATGCGATCACATTTTTATCGCATCATATCAATCTTGTCGCATTATATTGATGCGATTACTTCATCTTGTAGCATCTCTTTGATGCGATGATCCCACCTTGTCGCATCATACTGATACGATAACCCATTCCTCGCATCAGAAGGATGCGATAACATCAAATCCTCGCATCACAAGGATGTGATAACATATTTGCACGCATTATAAGGTTGCGATAAAACTAACTCATCACATCATACATATGCGATAAACCATACTCATCGCATCATACAGTTGCGACAACAGTTTTCATGTAATCAAAATCCCATTTTACATACAAAAGGTTTTTGTCACCCTTATCTTAGTATACATCTCTCCTGATTATGTCACCCTTATTCCAGTATACATCTCTCCTGATTATGTCACCCTTATTCCAGTATACATTTGTTGATCCTCTCTCTCAATGATTTGATGATAATACCTTTTCTCTTTCACGTTGTATTTGTGTTTCTGTATTTTCAGTTCCAACGATCTTCACTGAGTATGTTCAGTGATTGCTGAAGAACTTGCATTGTAAATCTATCAGAGACAGCAATACTTCAAGAAGACAACACTCACACCAAAGAACTTCAGCAAACGTCGAAGACTGAAACTGAAGATTAGAGACCGGCGAGTACGTGATCTGAAGCGGTATTCAGTGATTACAAGCCTGTCTACATATGTGTGAAGACTGCTCTAGCTTCAACGAATGATTATGAGACCTTCAGGTCATTCCAGCATTCAGTGATCAAAGGAAGCTTGCTTAGCACGATTGTTGTTGTCTTGTCCTTATGCACACAAAGGACAAAACCCATACCCTTATAAAAGTTAGTACGGTACGGAGCCGATTAGTCGACTCTTTGTCCACCAACTTTAGGTAAGGATGTCTGCTCAGAAATAGTGCTTTTGTACTATTCACTGTAGCAAATGACAAGCCTTCCTCTTAAAGTTTGACACGCACTCTAAACCTACCATATTGCATTAAATGGACATTTAATGCACTGGATATAAATAGAAGTGTTTCTTCTCCATGCAGAGAGCGTGCATCTCTCTCTAACCTAATTCTTACTTCAAGCATCTTCTAGCTTAAGTAAATGATCTTTCTTTTAGCAACTTTTTTTCTTGTAATTGCTAAAGCTTTGTGTGTAACCAAAGATTGTTTAGATAGGTTTTTATTACCTTATCTTTCCACAAACAATCTTGTAAAATCTGTATTGATCTTCTCTATCAATATATATTTTAAATCTGAAAATATTGTGTTTGTATTCATCCCCCTCTTCTACAAATTGTTTCTCTTCTTATAAACCCTTACGGGACCAACAACATCTCTCCTGATTATGTCACCCTTATTCCAGTATACATCTCTCCTGATTATGCCACATTTACTCCAACTAGTTGATAATCACATATCAAAAGACAAAATTATGCTAAAAATTAGCATATAACATCTTCATAACCCATGTATGAAACCATACACGGTTTCTTCATCAAAAACATACTAAACGATGTTTATGATAATTAAAACTCGCCTTATAATCACACAAAGATGAGGATGATAAACAGTAGCTAATTCAGCTTAAGAATCACATAATCAGTTTCTTCCTTCTTCATCTAGTTTTTTGCTTCGAACCAAGGAGTAATAAAAGCATACACACTCACGAACTTTTTTCCTTTTAACTTATCTCCTCAAAACTCAAGAAGGTAATAAAAATATCTCAATTAACACTCTTAAAATATATGAGACTGTGGGTGATGAAAATATTTTAAACTCGATTCAAAACAACCCCTCAACTTTCACTATTGATCTAAAACAACCCCAAACTTTATAACCATTAACACCCGGTTATCACAAAAACTATAAAATTAAAAATCAATACATAGTTTGGGGGCCATTTTGTAATTTACTCTTTAATTTTATAATAATATTATGGCGAATGATCATGTAAGAAGGAAAGCTATGGTGAGAAGGCGTAAAAAAGATCTAAACCGTTGATCACTTTTAATTTCATGTCTACCAATGAATTGTGTTTTAGAAGGGAATTGATATGAGATGCACCTCATTAATATTGACATTCAAATAAGATTGATTGAAAGATGGAGATCTCTTTTTGCATTTCTCACCATAATTTTATTTTTCATTGAAACCCAACCCACATGCGATTGGCCATTTTGTCATTCTAAAGGCCACCAAAATTGAAGTGGTATCCGTCTCCATCTCAATCCCCACCACTACGTATAATTATATATATATATATATATATATATATATATGGGAACGATCAAATGAAAACCACTCAATTTGTAAAAACCATAAAAATCTCATTCCACCAATCATAATTTTTCATTTTGTTCATTTTTTTGTAATTATGAGAGGTTGATTAATCATTTTTATTGTGGATGGGTGTTAATCATGGATATTATCATCTTCATTATTTTAATTTTAGAGAAATACATGAAACAGTTTCATTAAAATTTCATTAAGTAGTATATGAAACAATTTCATAACCATATATGAAACAATTTCATAACCATATATGAAACAATTTCATCAAAAAAAGTATTATATGAAACAATTTCACAAGATTAAACAATTTCATGAAAAAATTTCATAAGATTAAACAATGAAATCGAAGAATGAGAGTAGTTTTTACGTTTTTTACAAATTGGAGTGGTTTTCATTTGATCGCTCCTATATATATATATATATATATATATATATATATATATATATATCACACAAATATATTAATGGTTATTTTTTATGAAGTGCCAAAAAACAGTTTATGTTATCTTCTAGAATATTTTTACTATACTAATCCCATAGATTCATTTACTCAAATGTTTATCCGATAAGCGCTTATCAATAGAAGTCAACATTATAATTTATTTTGATGCGCGCATAAGATTTTAGTATATCAAAACATATCGAATGCAACAATTTATTGGATAAGCGCTTATCTGGGTAAGAGTCGTCATCCTCACTTGCTGTGTAAGACTCTTCATCCTTCTCATCGCTCTTACCCAGTAAGATTCTTGGCTCTTCTCATGTTCATCCCATGAAAAAATTTATATGTTAAGCACTTACCAAAATAAGTGTTTAGTAAACAGCTCATGTATCTTGTTACAAAAACTTAGCTCCATGTGATCATTTAATAAAAGTTTTCTTATATGATAAAAGAAAAACAATATTTATTTTAATATCTAAAAAATTAAACATTGCTTTCCAAGCCTTCATGTCATGCCTACCCCAAATATTAAACAAACAGATTATAATATCATACATAGGTTGGGGCTTGGTTTTGATTTGTATCAATTAGCGCTCGGTAGATCATCTAGGTAATATATATATATATATATATATATATATATATATATATATATATTTTATATATATAGGGAAGCGATTAAATGCAAATCATTCAATTTGTACAAACCGTGCAAACCTCATTCAACCAATCATAATTTTTCATTTTTTCATTTTTTTGTAATTATGAGAGATTGATTAATCATTTTTATTGTATAGAGTGTTAATCATTGATTTATCATCTTCATTATTTTAATTTTAGAGAAATACATGAAATAGTTTCATTAAAATTTCATTAAGTATTATATGAAACAATTTCATAACCATATATGAAACAACATCATCAAAAAAAGTACTATATGAAACAATTTCACAAGATTAAACAATTTCTTGAAAAAATTTCATAAGATTAAACAATGAAATCAACGGATGAGGGTGGTTTGCACGGTTTACACAATTGAGGGCGGTTTTCATTTGATCACTCCTCTCTCTCTCTCTCTCTCTCTCTCTCTCTCTCTCTCTCTATATATATATATATATATACAGTGGCGGACACAGTAGCAAAAAGGAGGGGGGAAGGGACCCCAGTCAAAAACTCAAATAAAAAAAATTCCTAGGTTAAAATTTAAGTTTTATATGATTTACCTTTCACTTCCTCCCATTATATTTTTCCACGGGCCCCCAACCCCAATCGAAACCGTTACTCTAACAAAAAATCTATTGAAATCAATCAAAAAAACCAGAAAAGTTATTCGAAATCGACAAAAACACTAAAAAAATCCCTCAAAATCAACCAAAAAACTGTAAAAATCCCTCGAAACATTGTAATTAGGTTAAAAACACATCGGACGATTTTGCAGGCCTTTAGTCTACCTTAAAGGTGACTCTACTAGACAAAAATCCTGGATATATATGTGTATATATATATATATATACATAAGATGTAAAACGAGAATTCCTTTTTTATCAGTATACGTATCAGTTCAGATATTCATGATTCTTGATTCAACGGCTTTTAAAATACGTTATACATGTCCATACTTCGTCTACGTAACATAAGAATCTTAGAACATCGATAATATGTTAATTGTCAACATCAGATTGTCAACCATTATATCACCAATTGTAATATATAAATGCGTTTGGTGTGCACTTGTTTTGAAGACTATGCTCAAGTAACACCATATATACCACCACTACTCAAATAGTTTCATTGATATATAATTTTTGAAGTCTTAGGAGATGGGTTCTCTAATGGCAGGTTGGGATTCACCTATTCATGGTTTTAAAGCTGGTATGTTTTCCTTTTTTGTCGTTATTTTGATTTGATTGGACGAAATTTATTCCTATTCCTATCAGTAGGTGTTCTCAAATGGTGAATTTGTTTTCTGTGAATCACGTAGTCAAACCAACTGTGTGATCAATGTCTTTAGTTTCATCGTTTTAATATTTTTTGAACTGATTATAGAGAGGAACAGATCGTTGACGAAGGAAGAGATTGCTGCATTTTGGAGATTGAAGAAGATCGAAGAGGAAGAACTTTTCTTTCTTAAAGCTTCTTATAGACTCTCGAAGGAAGATAAGGTGTGGATCAATTACTTTTTTGTTTAAACAATCAACATGCTAGCAAAATTACAAACGACCCGTTTATGGTCCCCATTGAATTGTCTCAGCGAAAAGGGAGTGGAGTTTTTAGAAGATCTAGGGTTCAAATTCAACCCACCCACCTTGTCGTAGGACAACGTGATGTACGTCTATCATAATGGTTGTAGGATCGGTATGATGGGGCCCTTTTGGAGGAACCCCTTTTTCAAGACGAGACTTTTATGTTTATGCAAAGTAACGTAGAATTCTGGTTTTAACTTTTTTTTATCGGTATGCCATAAAATTGGATAATTTAATGTTAATTAGATATGAAGTTCTTTTTGATGAAGAACAAAAAAGTTGTTTATTAATGCTCAAAGTCCTAGTAAATCAAATGGTGTGGGTTCAACAAGGCTTAGGGAGCGTCTGCCAAATGCTTATTGGGTAAACGCTTACGAGCAAGAGTCATTATTCTAAGACTATGTTTGCCAAAGTAGCTATAAGTTTGTTGATGGCAGATAAGTTAGCTGTTAACTGAAAAGTTAGTTGATAAACAAATTGTGTTTGACAAAACTAGTTTATAAGCATATAGAATGACTAAAAAGGCATCTTGAAAAAAATGGTCAATTACAAATATTTTATACTATAATTCAAATAAGTTTATAATAACATAACTAAAACAAATTTCTAATACTATAATATGTTAATTAATACAAACAAGATAGTAAAAAAAGTTAAATAATATAATATGTT